CGGTCGGTAACCGGCATGTTTATGCCATAGGGAGTATCCCGGTAGCGCGGGAAGCATCGTTCGCCAATATTAATTAAAGGCCTCTAACGCTGCAGGAAAATTTTAGTAGAAGATTTAGAACTATGTATGTATTTAGTTTTAGCGTTTGTTCCCGCTTTGAGGGCGTGAAATGCCGTGTCATTGTCCCTAATAAGTCATTGTCCCGGCATTTCAATTGTCGCCCATAAGCATGAACCAGGCCACCAACTCACAAGCTTACATGCAACAACTAAAACCAGGCAATACTAGCTACGCAAGCTATGCTAGGACAAACTTTTGAGACAAGGCATCCTCCAATTGGCACGCGGTAAATTGACTTAGATTGTTTGCCCTGGCAAACTTATGTACTCCAAGCTCATCCACTGGACGATGCTGGCTGTACTTCTTGCGTGGGCGACCTTGTCGCCGCCGGGGATGTTGTCCAGGGCGTTCCGGTCAAACTCGTAGGCGCCGACCTCATTACCGTTGTCCATGGACATTGTGTTGGAAGGATACGTTAAGGTTCAGATAAAATAAAGAAATGAAGAAGCGCTCCTTCATAGTATGGAGATGGTAGAATCTTCAAGCAACTTTTGAACGACTAGGGAGAGTTGCTGATAGGCGAATTTGTATGAAGCTATAATATTCCTTTATTCCTTCAAGGTAAACGAATGCTTATGTATTCGTCTGTTAGTAGCGTGAAGCTTTGAACACTCTTTGTACGGCAGATTCGGCACAATGTTTTGCCTGATTGCGATGTTGCCTGAAAATTTTGAACAGAAGGGATCACTGCTCATGCTGGTGCAGCAAGACATGTAAGGAGATGGCCTGGTCACAATCCAGCAGTCATATATCGACAATCTCAAGCTATGACAACTTGTTACATGTGTCTGTAATAAAAAAGGGACTTTGCGATGGTGTGGGGAGCTCTTTGAGTGGTGGGACTGTGGAAATCCAGTTTGTTTCGCCCGTAACAAGTTTGTTACGGGCGAAACAACGTCCCTCTGAAACGTTTGGATATGCCTATGCAACACATTTCCTCAATTTCATGAACTGCAAGTATTCTAATCCAACATCACCCCAATCTCAGTGTAAACTAGTCTCCAAATGTGCCTGCACAAGACTGTCACCCCTGTCACCCGGCATTCACATTGCCTTAACCTCCTCAAGCTTGTCGGGTTGTGACACGTGGGCATGAACCTTGTGACAATGGGCATTGTCACAAAGAAACTGGTTGCAATCAGAAATGCATTTTTGCTCATGCCAGGTTACCGACATCGGTTACCGATTACTGGGGACGGTTGACGGATAACGGTTCGCCCGGTAATCCTACCGACCGGTTACCCATCTCGTTAACTGGACCCGTTAGGTCGGAACCGGGCCGGAACCGGCCTGGAGTATGCCATTGGGATTGTCTGAAGTGCGAGGTAGGATGGTGCTTATAGGCGATCTGGCAGCCCTTGAGCCCTCGGCTCGTATTGGGCGGTTTGCAGGTACGGGGAACGCAACCCAAGACCACGTAACACACACACACTGTGTATGTATGTATGTATGTATGTATGTATGTATGTATGTATGTATGTATGTATGTATGTATGTATGTATGTATGTATGTATGTATGTATGTATGTATGTATGTATGTATGTATGTATGTATGTATGTATGTATGTATGTATGTATGTATGTATGTATGTATGTATGTATGTATGTATGTATGTATGTATGTATGTATGTATGTATGTATGTATGTATGTATGTATGTATGTATGTATGTATGTATGTATGTATGACGTTGATTACACTGTGGGCTGAAAAGCCGGGGGCCCAGGGCCGAAGCACAGCGCGGGGGGCGGGTGCATACGGCTGGTTAGTCTCATGCACTCCGCCCCCGGGTCAGGCCGCACGGGAAACGACGGCCGGCACGCAACAGCGCTTGTTTGGCGCTCCAACTAGACGGGATCTATGCCCGTTGGTCTCCTAACATAAACGAAGTCGCAACTGGGGGGCTCTTCCTGCCGACCGAACGAACCGAGCATCTCAGAGAGCTCGCTACCAGGACTTGGGCGACCGGGAGCCCGACGAGTCTTCCCGGGCTGGGGAGGTCACCAAGCTCAAAAATCCTCACGCAAAAAAGAGCGCAAAGAGCTCACACCACAAGACGCCAAACAGCCTCCTGAGACTACTACCCTCCTCCGCCTCTCCCTCCCCGGGCTAGTCCAGGGGAGATAGCCCCCGTCGAGGGGGTAACACCGCACAAGTCCGCGCCCTTCCACAGCACTGGGTCTAAATTGAAAAGTACTCAACCGGGAAGACCCTGCGGCAACGCAGGGCGATCAAGCCTCCGGAAACCACAGGGGGGGAGGGTAGCCAGCTCGGCGCCCCCCCAATACCGCTCTACCAAGACGGCTGGTTCCCAAGATCCTATCTCACCTAGACGCCGCACCACGAAAAACCCGGTCTCGTACCCTGAAGAACCTAGTCCTGCACCACGCGCGCACCTTCGAGTACGGCCCCCCCTTCTGGGTGCCCACCTCCCCCTCATCCGCGCCCTCGCTACGGCCACCTGTTTCCACTCACCACTCCTCAACCCTACATCCTCTTGGTGTACTCTCTACCTCTTCCCCTCCCCCCCCGGCTCTCCCCGCCCTTTCCCCGGTCTCCCCCCCCTCCGCCGGTACGGCTCCCCCAGGCAAATAAACCCTCCCTCCCCCATGTCCCCTTGCGCGGCACCCCCCCAAGCCCCATCCCTGATCCCGCCCCCCTCGCAACCTATCCCCTCAACCTCCCTCTCGACCTCCCTACCACCCCCACCACCTCAAAACCC